GTACGCTGAAGTGAACTAAAATCCACAAGATTTTAATCAACCAAATAAGACTATTGCTTTCCGTCGATTTGAAGACAATCAAGTAATTATATTTTTGTTGTCAAAAAATAAGTAAAATAAAATCGTGTACGATTACTGATAATGACAGTAGTATTTTTATTTTCAAAATTTAATTATTAAGAAAACATAAAAATTGATAAAGATGGCAGTATTATTCATTTAATCGATTAAATGGAAATGAAACTTCGACAGTTGATTATTATAGCTTATTTTGTTAGTGGATCGAATACCAAACACACTGATTATTAACAGATTTAATATTTATAAATTATGAAACACATATAATATTTAATATTGATTCACTCTCTATTTATTCACTCTTGCTTCTCGTCTTTCATGCGTTTGAGGATCTTCCCGATCACAACTGTTTCTCGTCACCATGCTCGCTCTCAATTGTTCTCACGTATTCGTTCTTTCTTCTACCATGAAATATATCAAACATTCAGATCACACTACACCACAATTATATGCACACTCATCTTTCATACAAACATTATGTATATTCACTCCACAATATATATCTATCTATAGTAACCACTACCACATATTTAACCGCTGTCAGTATTGTTTTCGCTTAATTTAATTTGCACTGTCAGCGTAAATAAATTGATTAAATTAAACACATGAAAAAAATGGAAAATATTACGTTTTTGTACAAATATTCTCTGTATGGAACGAAACAAATCGATCATCTAATAGAGAAAAAATGAAATACATAAAAATGTTGTTACTCAAACACCATGTACACCATGCGTTACAAGGTAGAATTCTTTTCATGACAGAATTATTTATAAAATAAAGAGTTACTTCCGGACATCTGTCAGAAATTTAAAATATCTCATTTTAATATACAAAATTTGAATATGATTTGCACACAGTCGATAACATATTGCTTAAGTATTCTACAAGGTAAAAAAGAGATATTCTTCTGAGATATTTTGTTTTGATTATGTGAAATAAAGCATAAAAATAGATTAACGAATGTGAAAATAATAATGAAGCATCAAAATATTGTGAATCGTTAAAAGTGTATTTCTTGAAACTCTTGTACGATCGCTTTCATAATACATTTGAATTAAATGATGATGCGGAGGATTACATCCTTGCTACAGTGTGTCGTTCAAAATAGAAATTTTTGTTGTTTACCTGAAAATCAAGAAAATAATAAACAACCTTATATTAAAAACACGATAATAAAATAATACAATTGATATGTAATGAAACAAAATAGAAAATTTGTTGTTTACCTGAAAATCAAGAAAATAATAAACAACCTTATATTAAAAACACGATAATAAAATAATACAATTGATATGTAATGAAACAAAATAGAAAATTTGTTGTTTACCTGAAAATCAAGAAAATAATAAACAACCTTATATTAAAAACACGATAATAAAATAATACAATTGATATGTAATGAAACAAAATAATAAAATTGATAGAAAATGGAAACAATGGAAGTACAGCTATTACAAAACAATTAATAAAGAATGATAATTTTCCAGTTTTCTAAATACATCTTCATTTGATTCTAAAAATAATAGTGTGCACTCAGTAAAAATGGAACAACTTCAACATTTGAATCATAATAATGCATCACTTCAAAATCTTAAGAAATATCCTAATATTAAAAATCTATGTATGAGATACATATTATCAGAATAGTACGTTTCGTACCTGTGTATTCGCAACGTTTATTTAGTTCCGCACGGCTAATATTAATACCTTAACGAAATTGTTTAAAAGATAATGTATTTGAAAAATGCGTTTTATTTAAAGCAAGCAAAATGAATTAATGTCTTGTAAAAATTAATTTGTGTAAAAATTTTCAGGTATTTATAAATAAAAGTCTTATGTTTCGATAAAAATCTATTGCAGTATAAAATTTTGAAGTTGTCTTATTTGCAATAATATTATTATTTGAAATAACAATTAATGAACATATTATTATTTGAGATACATATAATTATCTTATGTTTCGATACTTATTTCACAATAGTATGAATTAGTATTAAAATATATATTTGAAGTACTATTTTTTAATGAAAATATTATTTCAAGAAAGTATGTTATTTGCCAAATGATGTCACTCGAGAAAATAAAAATATTTTGTTCCTATTTATTTATTTCAAAAATCTAGTTTTTTCCAACCCTGCGGAAGAGCGATATCGGCCTTAATATCTGAAGAATAAAGTCGGTTATTTACAACATCACGAACAAAAATTCACAAGGTCTTTCAGCGATCGGAAAAATAACACAAATTCAATTTTAACTCCGACTTTTTTAACTGGTAATGCGAAAAAATTAAAATGGCGTTCGAAAATAAAAGTTTAATCATACTAATTGTAGATGGAACAATTTATAGATACCGAGACAATCCACAATGACTACAGTCCACGACAAAAAGATAGTACATATTAAATTTTCATGATTTTGTTTGTTTCCAATGAAATTACAACTTATCTCCATTTAATACAACGAATGAATAATATAACGAATGAATGATTGACATTGATGATCCAATCTATGCAGTATAATAAATATCTGCCTTCCAACTCAAAACATAAACACTAGCAATAACATTATTTATACACTTTATAAAGAATATTTTATTTTCAGTAGAAATTAAATTTAGAGCGAGGTGATATTTCATGTATTATTTATTTTATATTTTATAAAAAAAAGTCAATATGGGATGCGGCAAAAAATTAAATGAAAGTGAAATTAGTAGTATATTGACATTAAAGCAAGAAAAATATTGTGCAAGAAAAATTTTACTTCTTGCAATCTAAATGTATAATTAGTAAAAGAAAAAAACCCCCCGAAAAATAATAATATCTTGGAAATTAATAAAAACCCGAAACTAAAATTTGATATTTGGGATCCTCGCCTATTTTTTTCCCCTCAGAATTTCATATTGCTCTGGAAGGAATTGGTGCTTTTCGACACTACAGCCGAGTTTCTTGTTGCTCGAGCAGAATCGCCACATATGTTTGTAAATGCTAATGAATCAACGAAAGTGTTCTGCCATCTACCAGTGATATCCTTCCAACAACATTCATTTCTTCGAACAAGAGTTTCGAAGAGAGCATTCTATTGCTGGCAACTCTCTCTGCCGCCCGGCTAAATATTAAGGAATTTAATTAAGGTAGATTCCGTGGAACGAAACAGAAAAGTGGCGCGTGGACGGGACTACTTGCTCGCAAAGTACATTTCCTCGATCATACTGTTGACTCTGACGTCTGGCTGTCGCAAAGTATCCGAAGTTTCCCTCCGGTCGAAACTTACTTTCCTCGTTTAAATATTTGACCGAGTGAAATAAGTTTCTCGCGTCCCTTCGTCTACTCGACGAACGATCGACGGTCACCAATTTACGAACGAGTTTTCTTTCCTCCGCTGCAGCGTTCACTATGTCTCGTCGACGCCCTGATTATCGACATCAGGATTTTAAACCAAGCGGATCAGTCGCACGCATCAGTCGAACGGCTCCGGTTAGTTTGTTGGAATTTCGGTTCGTAAGACTGCGGCTAGTCACTGATACCGACAAAGAGCAAATAATTAAAGCGGAATAAATAAAAGTTGAAATGCCAACGATGCAATGATTTTGTGGTTATGAATTGATAGAGGCGATCGACAGTCGTTTGACGAGTCCGTCAACTTGAAAACACATCACTTTTACGATAATGATTCTCGTATCACGATATTGTTATTGACTTCCGTTTACTAGTAAACTCGCTTTTTACAATTCCGCCGCGAAAATAAAAGAGATGCAAGAGAAACTGTAAATTAACCGGAGGTCGTAGCAAGTACGGCGACATTTTTATACAACCAACTGCACAGTTTGATCTTTCCAAAAATTTATTTTCATCGGTTGAGCTGCTTCAGCTCGGCTGACGAATTTTTTACGTCACATTGTCGTTGCACCGTTGTCATATGGCTGCGAGTCGCGTAAAAAAAATCATGCTATCCAATACGATTACCGACGCACGGTATCTTCTCACGAGTCTCTATTAGTCTCGGTCCATGAAGAGGCAAGGCAAACAGCGCGGAGTATTCTGATGAGTATACGGGCCGGAAGTCGTAGCTAATGCTACAGGCGGGAAAACGTTGATAACTGGTCCGTGTCCACCCGTTTCCCTCGCGTTCACGGTCCTTTCTATTTTTTATGACGCCCCACAGGGCGGTTGCAAATGCTTGCACGCGTACACCACAACGAGGACTGGGTGTACGATCGGACGGGAGGAAAGGAGTGAAAGAGGAAGAGGATGAGGGGCGTGCAAGAGAGTTGGCTCTCTCGTTGGTATTTCCAATTTCACAGAGCGTGGGTTAACGAGGCCCGAGGGCTGGAGAAGTTAGGGCGACCAAGCCTCTGAAACATCCTCCGTCCCCGCCAAAAGTGAGCCCTATGGTCCCAGTGTTACACCTCTTCACCCTGCTCCCTCTCTGTCATTCGCTCGGCCAGTTTCTGGTGGCGCACCCCTTTAAACGTGGTGCCCTACCGTGCGCTCACCAGGTTCCGGTACATTACCTTTGCTGATTACCGGCCTGCCTCGCGGAGTATGTCACCCAGTCACCCTCGAGACACATACCTTTTGCAACCCAGCCATCCTATCCTATGGCTGGCTTCTGCGTATCTCCGAGATGTAGGCGTCGGAGGAAACGTTCGAGACGAACGGAACGATCGTCTGGCGCTGGTGTTTCTCTCCTGAGATTTAAACGATTTCTCGATTTCACAGTGCCTCGTGTGTCTGTTTCGGCCGAATTCCATCTCGCCAAGAGTTTATTAGATACGGGATATTGTGTATACATTGTGTTTTTGTATACATGGTTCGGTAATGCATTCTCGCGAGTGAATATGAATATTTGCGGAAATATTGTTTGTATTGCAACCTTGTTAGTACGATATTGTAATAAACAATGTCGTATTTACGTTTCAGAGCAGCCCAGAAGTTAAATCTTTCTTCGAGCCCCCATCGTCGTCGTCGATCCGGTGACGAGAACATCAACTCTGACGAGCAACCAATTTTTCCGAATGGATACGCCGCCCTCCTTCTCAAGTCACCGCCTCCAGCGCCACCAGCTCTCTTACGAAGGATAGGCGTCAAGGAGCTTACCGGTGTCGGCAAGGTAAATTATAGAGAATTCCTCGCATGCGTTACTTCGACCGATGATGGTTATTCGTCAGCCAGTAGTGCCTTTACAGCTCGATACTTCAATCAAGGACAGCTGAAACACGTATAGTAGGTTCAAGGCGGAAAGGTGCTCCACTTCCGACTCGTTCGTCCATCGTTCAACCCAGAACCGCGTGTGCTGGAAACGGCCTCGTCGTGATCCCGAATCCATCCTATTGGATTCTATTGTAGACACGCGACCTTCTCTCTAGTTCCCGGCTATTGAAGCGAGGCCGCGTGCTTGCTCGTACAGGACGTCCAGAATGCCGCGTGGAAATCTTGGCGAGGGCGCGCGATTTGAAATGCAGATGAGCGTCTCGCACCGCTATAAGCTGCGGCTGCTCTCCTCTCCTCTCCTCTCCTCTCCTCTCCTCTCCTCTCCTCTTCACCTTCCACCTTCCACCTTCCTTTTGCCGTTCCCGCTCGGATTTTCTTCCATCGCGGCGCGTCCTTCTTACCGTGATTACCTGTTCGCTTGAATATTCGCCGTTCCGAGAATGATTTACCATCGTGCTACTTAAAACCAACTGTAGGAATATCAATAGAATTGATACAGCTTAGTTATAAGGGAATAAGTCGAGAAGTGATAGCTCACTTTTTTAAAAAATAGTTATTATATCTTAAATATGATTGATATCTGAAAAATATATACAGGATGAGTCTCGTAGCGTGACGACATCAAATAACTCGTAAAATATTTGTTGTACGAAAAATGTTCAGATAGAAGTTGCATGGCTTCCAGGGCGACATATAGTATTGTAATCAGTTTTATATTATTTTGATATGAAAGTCACCTTCAATTTTTTAAATGGAACAGTTAATATTTCTTCCCGAATTCGGGTAAAGCGGTGAATTCTACATAAAAAACTTTTATATTATTTTGCTTTTTTCATTAAGGTGTGAAAGTCACATTCAATTTCTTAAATAGAATAGTTAATATTTCTTCGAATTCGGATAAAGCGTTTAATTCTACATAAAAAAGTATTACAAAAAATAGGGTCTAAATAGGGTCTAAAATATATAGTTACTGAGATATTAGCAAAAATATTTTTTTACATTGTATTAGAGAAGACTGTTAATCTCAGTAACTATGTATTTTAGATCCTATTAGGTGTAATACTTTTTTATGTACAATTCAACATTTGCGAGGTTCGAATCGGGAAATCGAATCGAATTCGGGTAGAAATATTAATTATTCCATTTAAAAAATTGAAAGTGATCTTCATATCTTGATAAAAAAGCAAAATAACATAAAACTGATTACAGTACTATATGTCCCCCTAGAAGCCATGCAACTTCTATCTGAAACATTTTTTCGTACAGCAAATGTTTTATGAGTTATTTAATGTCGTCATGTTACGAGATTCACCCTGTATATTTGTGAAAGTAGATACTGTGAGAGGACTCGTAGGAAACGTGGAGTCTAAAGATTCAAAAAAGATAACAGCTGTTTTCAAAGATGTATGTATTTCTCAAAGATCGGTCGCTAACTGTTCGTTGCCTTCTCGCGGACTTGGCCGTTGAGCGATACACTTTTTGCTTTTATTATCAGGGCGATACAGTTTTTGTCTTACGCGGACGGTTGGTGACCTGACAAACACGTTAGGTTCGAATTCAACGTGTTTTCGCTTACAATACATACAAATTTATCATATATAAATACATATACTTATACAGCGTCTACATATACCAAAACTGGGCCACCTGAATATTTTTTGTATTAGTGATAATACGAAAATCGTAACCTTACCTTATCTGACGTAACTTAAAATGGCTGAAGAGAAAACTATTTTTTTTTAAATATCATTTTTTAATGTTTTTCTCAAAGTTATTAGCATTTTTTTTTTTTTTTTTTGTAAGAAATTATATATTTTTTTCTATTCCATCACGTGGCTCATGAAAAAATTACATTTATATATGTTTATAGTATAACCTTCAAATAATCTTGGATGTAAAAATTTTTAAATTAATGTGGAATTTACGTTGAGCGAGATTTCAGATTAGGACGACAGCAGAAGTGATCTTGATGGTGTAGACACGTTTAATTTAAATGTTCAGTATGATGTTCTTTAATTGTAATGAATTTCCTGAAACGATGAATGACAGATTGCACAGCCCTCTCAATAATTTCAGGTCTGATATCAGCACAAGTTGATTCTATGCGTTCCTTTATATCTTCTGGCTGTAGACATTTCCCCGTAAATGTATCCCTCTCCCTTTAAGTATCCCACAAGAAAAACTCTAGGGGTGTGAGATCGGGTGAACGAGCCGGTCATAATACTGGCCCGTTGTGTTCAATCCAACCATTCTCGTTGAGGACCTGTGTTGCAGTATGTAAAAAGTGTGTCAGACATCCGTCGGGCTGATATCATAATCTTAGACGATAAGTCAGTGGTCATGTTCTAATAAACTTCCTAATTCGTTTCTGAAAAATTTAGTGTAACTTTGTCCAGTTTGCGTACCGTTGATAAAGTGAGGTCCAATAATCCTATTATTTAAAATTCCGCACCAAACATTTAGAATCCATAGTCTCCGCCTATCAATCCATCTAAATGACCGCAGATTCTGAATCGACCAATAATGTATATTTCTCAGGCTTAATGCCTAAATAATATTTTTGTGAAAAACATCATCATTTTCATATTGATATATGCTCCAAACATAACAAAAATATGTTTGTTAACACTTTCAAAATCACTTCTGTTGTCGTCCTAATTTGAAATCTCGTTCAACATAAGTTCCATATTAATTTAAAAATTTTTACATTCAAGTTATTTGAAGGTCATATCATAAACATATTTGAATGTATTTTTTTATGACTTACGTGATAGAATAAACAAAAATACACGTTTCTTACATAAAAAATGCTAATGACTTTGAAAAAAAACATTAAAAAATGATATTTTTTAAAAAATGGTTCTTCCATTCAATTCGTCTCTCCAATCAGTGTAAGTTACATCAAGATTTTCGTACTATTACTAATAGTGAAGATATTCAAGTGGCCTGATTTTGGTGAAACGCCAAAGTGTTTAGAAGCTATATGTATTTAATTTTAATAAAGTAAATTTGAATAAAATCTATAAATTTGAATTTAGAGATACGTATAAATTTAAGTATTTATTGCAAACAGAAAATTAAGAAATAATAGATTTACATAGAATTACAAAACCAAATAAATATTTTATAAGCAGCCATCTCATCCGGATTATCCGGATTGAAAATGTATGTTTTCAGCTCAATTTTTAGTTTATTATTCAACTTTAGGTCTCATTCATATTAAATATATCTTTCGGTTTATTGAGAGATTTTCTCATAAGGTCTGCTCTAACAGTTGAAAATATGAATCAACTTTTACTTTATTCATACACTTACGTCTCCTTAACCCGGAATGCCAAAAACTTTAGATGTCGCACACATACCCATTTTGCCAGTTTGAACTGTCTCTACGGAAATCCTTTATTTGTTCATAATCCTCTATTGTTAGATTCAGTTGGTGTGATTCTCTAGAAAAATAGTACTAACTATTATACAAGATTTCATGATGGGTCAACTCTCACCTAAAAAAATCCGGGCCATCTGGGAGTGATAATTTTTCTTTTTATAATGACAATATCTCATGATAGAAATCATAACCTCTAAACACTGCATTGCGAAAGTTATTATTTTTTGATAAAATGTTAGTAAATTATAATTTAAAGGATAAGTAGAAAATTTTTGAGACTAAGTTAATTGCACATATTATACATGAACTTATTTTTCAAATAAAAACGAATAAGAAGTTATGTAGCTTGTGATCAAGATACAGTATATCTAATATATGTATATATGCAATATCTATATATACTAAAAAAAGCTGAAAAATTGACATTTGATAACTTATATAATGAGATCGAGTCCATTTCATTTAGACTTACGCTATGTATGTCAAATAAAGTGGAACGTGCAGATAACTTTGGTTGCAAAACTACTTTTCATTTGTTTTTGAGACAACGATTCGCGAAAATATATTTACGTTACTTCACGTTTGTTTCTTTGCTATCACAGAACAAAGACGACACGTCCCAGAATTTTCAAGAAGCCATCCAAAGTATCAGATATCGATACATAAAAGGAGAGATTCATTATAAAACGAGACGCGAATTTTTCGTTGCAAAATAAAAGCATCGTGGAAGTTTGTAGCGAGACGTGGCTACTGTTGTTGAAAATTAATTCATGAGAAATAACGGCTTACCGTTTACCAGCCACGTAAGGCTAATTGAAACTGGGTAAAGTCGTTGGATGGTGAAAAAGAGGAGTTATAATAAGCGAAGAGAGAGAAAGAGAGTCGTATCTGTCTTCTTTAAAAGACGAGCATGCCCATCTCTCTTCTTAGCTCCACTTGGTTTTAAAAGTAAGTTTGCTTGCACGGAGAAAAGTTCGAACAAAGGTGTGTCAAACGTGACACGCATAAAAATCAATTAGACGTTGGATTAGACCTGGAAGAAGTCGAAAACAAATTTAACCGGCAGTAAATTGCACCTTGTATGTATCGGTACACCTCGACAGGTCTATGCATTTTCTAATGTGCTCGATTTCTATTGCAGATACAACAATATCGATGTCGATTCAATTGATTTACCTGAAAATTTGCTTTCACTTTTGACGTGTGTACTTTAATGCTGTACAGCGAAACAACCAAGATGACAGGAAATCGAGGGAAATGGAGCGAGAAACGATCGAAGTCAGGATTAGACGGCTAACGTGACAGTCGTGCAGTGGTGGTACGCGAGCTTTGGCCGCGTAATTATCGTTTCTATGAGAAACGTGGCGGGGAGTGGCAGCATGCGCGCAACTGTCGAGTCCGGTCGGCCACCTCACAGACAGTCGAATATTTAGTGTCTCTATGAAGAGAGTAATTAAACCGGCCGTTGGCGCGTCTAACACTGGCCAAACGTGGCTTTGCTTTGGCTTTCTGCT